GCTTTTTCAGCCACTCTCCTTGAGTTTGAAATGCATCACTTCTTTCAAATCACTTTTCAAAATGGAAATTCGCTCCTTCTGGCCTGGGGTTCGTCTGAATAAAGACTTCTTTCTCTCTGTAGTCATAATTGTCTTTCATTTGAGTGTTGGCCTCCTCCTCGCCGTCGACATAAGCCCTTTCCCTCCAGGGGTACGCTCTCTGACCCGTCCTACTCTGTGAAGAAGGAACTCGGCTTGTTGTGTGGCATTTCTCACAGTGGGCCATTCTGCACGAATATTTCAAAGTGGACTCGGACACGCTCCTGCGGGGCTATTGCTGGCCTGAGATGTCAGGACCCAGCTGGCTTTGTGCTGCCAGCTGCATCCAGTGGTTATTCCTCGCAGGCACAACCCCAGGTGTCCTTCCCTTCTGCCCTGTAATTCCCCTCTCTTTCATCCTCACAGGATGTCCAACTTGTATTACAGCCTCATTCAATAAAACAACATCCAGAGGAGCAGAGGCAGATACGGGTCCAGACACAACAGACACACAAACAGAGATTGTTTGCAGATGCAACGGGTTTTCAAGAGCATTCGAAAACAAACTTTTTGTCATATCAGCTCGATCCGGCTCACATCTTCCCAAATAGGGATTAATTGCTAATTAAAAGGAAACATAAAATAAACCTATTAATGTAAAAGGGGGCGAGAAATGTAGTGCACAAAAATAATCACTGGCCTGGTAAGAGAGATGTATTTGATATCACAAGGTTAGAACAGCACAAAACACACCATCGCCAGTGTTTTTAGTACATTATTAAATGAATATTATGATCGTTTTGCATGTTGTTAGATGTTTGCTAATCTGTTATGTGTAGAAGTGAAAGTATAGAGTTACGATGCTAAGGAATACTGCTTTTTTCCCATTTCAATTACACAAAAAAAATGAAATGCAAAAGTTTTAGTCAACAGTCTCTATTGAAGTAAAAGTAGTAAATTGATCAAAAACAGATTAAATCACGTCATCACAATCGGTGATGATTGTGACCTGATTAACAACAAAGTCATGTTTTATATGGATGCAAAAAAGAATCATATGCAAGTCAGCTTAGAATTTTTCATTAAAATAGCAAAAAATTTGCACAGCAAAAATGGAACAACTACTAAACAAGATTCATCACCTCTCTTTTCTTTTTGCCAGATACGCTTCTCTTGCAGCCGGATCATTTTTAATGCGCTACATGTCGTGCTCAAGTCGTTCTCAGTCCCACTATTAAGTGTCTTTAACTATCTATTTATTAACATTTAAATTAATCGTTTGATACAATGCTCTTATTGTGTACATATACATGTTTTATCCAACCTCAATAGCAGCACAAGTGTTTTGCAAAATAACATGAACAAGTGCATTATATATCTAACTTTTTTTTTTTATGTGAGTACATAAAAGTTAATAGATAATAGATCATAAGAGTTAACATAAGAGTTAATAGAGCTGCACGATTAATCGCTAAAATATCGCGATATTGATTAAAACATAAAAAACGCTGATTCATCCAGTAATGAAACAAGTGAAGTATTTATGAGGGAGTAATTGAATCATTCATTCAGTCCGAGTTTTTTTAAATAAAGTGCTTTATGTTACTATATTCCGCACTATGCTATGTAGATGCTTTCTTTTTTTGTTTCTTTTTGTAGTTTGTTTTATTATGTAGTTTCATTTTTCTTTCAGCCATTTTATTGTCCATCAGGTTTACATTATAATTCAGAATGCATAATTCATACATGTAATAGCACCCTTCTCTTCAAAAAGCTGCCGGATTTGTATAATTCATGTGTGACACAAATGCATCAAGTTACCTGCTCAAGTGCAATACCTAAAGACAGAGACTTGTTCAAATCCCTAACGCCAGATATGAGCAACAGTAATAGAAATGCTTTCCTAATAGCAAGCACCATTAAAACACATGCAGCAATCGTTCATTTGCGATCTTCAAAGCAAGAAGACTCCCTATCTGTCATTATGTTTAGTTTTGCTTTGAGAACATCCGCGTTTATGCTTTATTTAGTGTCTGCACCACTAAGTGTTTAATTATTTTGGCAGATGTGTCTGATGAGGGAGACACATAGAAATTGTCAATAACATCATCCGTGAAGAGGAGAGCGCAAGTGCGAGATGAATTTCATAAACAGAGGATGAGAGTATTCAAATCAGGAGGATTATGAAAAGAGGTATAAAATGGGATTGCCAGGATTTTCATACTTTCTGCAACATGGCAGATCTTCCTCACTCGACATCAAAAAGAGAATTGTGTGGCAAAATTCATCAGCTTGGCAACTAGGACGGCAGCGCTTACTCACTACAGATCTGCCATCGGAGATTAGCAAAGAACTCGAGACTGCTGCAGAACTGATACAATTGTAATGACAGACAGCAGGTGTATTGCCCGCGGGAAATGATTGGATGATGGCAATGCCAATACTACCTGATTTCACCTAATCACACATAAGACTTTAGCAGACAACTTAAACCGGCTACTTTAAAGTCAACATGCATGAAGCGGCATTCGCAACCCAATTTGACTTTCATAACGTGCTGTATTTCCAAGCGAAACAGAATATTCAACAAGAGACTTGATTTTATCCATCAAGAATTGATTGGATCGTGAACAGTGGGCGTTAGATAACAGATCTGAGCCAGAAGTGAATGTGAGTTTGATTCGGTCCAGCTTCGTATCCCACTCCCACCTCATCTGTTGCTGAGCGACAACTGCAAACTACAGCCTACACAAGCCATACAGTGATGAACACTTCACTGACCGCTGCCGGCATCATCCCAGACATTTAGGACGGATCTCAAAGACTAAACTACAGCCAACTAGACCCTATATAAGCCAGACACGTCACTGACCACTGCCTTCTTTGTTCCAGTCATTTAGGACGGATTTCAAAAGACTATGCATCAGCACAGGACTGCCAACTACAGCCTATATCAGACAGACTGTGAAGGGACACTTCCTCCATCACCATTTAACTACTGTTTTATCTTTAGAGTGTAATGTTGCTGTTTGAGAATGAAAAAGGTCTGCAAAGTACAAAATCACTCCAAAGGGAGTTATTCTCTATATCAGTAAGTGCTGTTTCTGAAACCCTCAAATGCCTCGATAGTAGTCTTGAGTTTTCTTCTGGGAACGAACACATCACAATATTTCTCATTCAATTCCCGTGCGAGGCATTTGCAAAAAAGTTATATGCTGAAATATTATAACAATTTAAAACACTGAACTTTCAGCATCATTACTCCAATCTTCGATGTTACATGATCCTTTAGAAATCTTTCTAATATGATGATTTACTGCTCAATTATTATTTGTCATCTATTATTAATAATGGTTCTTTATTAAGTTTTCGCCGCCTAATAGTATAAGGGAAACGGTGATACTGTACTTTTTATTCAGGATTCTTTGATGAATAGAAATTTCAAAATAACTGTATTGAAATAGAAATCTTTTGTAACATTTCTTACCCCAAACTTTTGAATGGAAGAGTATCACGGCTTCCACATTGATAATAATAAATGTTTATTGAGCATTAAATCATCATATTAGAATGATTTCTGATGGATCATGTGACACTGAAGACTGGAGTAATGATGATGAAAATTCAGCTTTGATCACAGGAATAAATTACATTTTAAAATATATTCAAATAGAAAAGTTATTTTAAAGCTGCAGTCCGCAGTTTTTCCTCTTTGTCGCCATCTCTGTTCGAAATCTGCAATTGCAGTCATTCGCGGAATTATCAACTTTACGTGAGTTGTGCCTCGGCACGGCACAGCGCGGATGAACACAATGTTTGAGGAGAATGTGCAGCTGTCAATCACCGTGCCGGTGTGGATACTGGCATTCAGAATCACAGATTATTCTTTTTGTAAGTATTACCAACATAAGAATTTTCACCGGAAAATATCATCTGAACAAGTAACATCCACGTTTGTTCTGATTCTGACATTGCAGTAAATCGCGCTGATTAAATCTAACAATCGCTTATAATATATATTTTCTTAAATTATTGTGGATAATTTTAACCCAGAAAAGCTACGGACTGCAGCTTTAAATATTAATGTTTTACAGTATATATATGATCAAATAAATGCTGCCTTGGTGAGCATAAGAGAAATTGTTCCAAACTTTTAACCGGTAGTGCATGTTCACTCAATGTTAAGTACATACAATATCCTCTCAAGGTTTTTCCCTTCACTACCTAAACATCTTTTTTATTTATTTTTAACAACAATCACTTCAGGCTTGCTCAAGGGGGGATTAAGAACATTTATGTAAAGCCATTTTAAGACATTATATATTGTGTCTTTATACAAATAAAGATTGTAGATGACACCACTGACACCCACACCCAAGAGCTTCTCATTGCATATAACTACTGTAATTATTGCCATAGCCTCATGTACATGTACTACTGGCAAGATTTCAGAAAGTCCACTTTAGCTACAATAATTGGCTAAAACAATGGTTTAGTTATTTAGCCATAAATGGTTTAATATTTTCTCCACCAGTGCAACCTAGCTATTGTCAGCTGAAAAGAAAAGCCATTTCAAGGTGTTGAGCTAATCTTAAACATAAGATTATAAAGGGAAAAAAAAACTTTCTTTTTTCTTTTGTAAGAAAGAGAAAAAAAGACCAAGTAATGTGTATTTTAATTTTGGCTGACTTCCAGTCACTTTAAAGTATAACATGAAGCTGGTCACCTTCCTCTTTATCTGATGACTGTACAGTTTCTCTCAGATGTGATTAAAAGGAAAATCCACTTTCTTTTGGATGGTCATCATATAATATAACCCATAAGTGCACAGACTGATCATGTTTCATGCGTGGTCACAGTTTTGTGTGTCTACTTGTGTCTTAAACATTTTAAAAAACAAAAATCTAATCAGTTCACCCAATCAAATCTAAATCCTGCATATGAAACCAGTGTCTTGAGTGACTTATTAAACATAATAAATCTTGCATTATATGAGACATTGCATGGTAGAAATCATGACAAAAAAGCACATGATTAAAATACTGCACTTATATTTTGCATAGGCTTTGATTCAGGTTACAGCTGTACTGCTACTGTGAGTGTGATGTTGGTTTCTCAACTGCTGTAGATATTATGCCCTGTAGAGGGTTTCAGGATCACATGGATTAGGTCCACAAACAAACAAGTGAAGTGGTTCGGGTGGGCCGAGAAACCTGAGTGGAATCACACATCTGTCATTTCATCCTCCACATCGTCTCCCTCTGTTTCGCCTTCTCCTTCCACTTCCTCCTCATCCTCTGATGTCATATCTGCATCATCCATCTGGGACATGCATTTCTGACAGGAACAGATGAATAAATAATTCTCCCTGAAAATGAGAGGGGAAAATGGTGTAATTTATCATTTAAAAAGGCTAAATTAAGACACAAATTACAATTCTGTCACTATTCACTCACACTATTTACTCACTCCTTCCAAACCCGTATAGAGTGCAACCGCCCCTTTTTCATTGGCACTGGTTTCGGAAATTTTTTTCTATTAATTTTTCCCATAGGGATTTTATAAGTCTTCATTAAAGAGTTATAAGCCGTGAACCAAGCCAATCAGCTACAAGCTGAATCCCAACACTACAAACTTTGAATTGAAGCAAAAAAGGTTTTTAAAATTGGACAAAAAGGACAACGGTAACTTAATGGCTTTTGCGAGGGAAAGAACTACAATCCCATGGCGAACACAAAATAGATTTATATTTCTGTTCTGTTTTTAATTTGATCATGCTGTTATTTACGTTTACAAATGTTGATTTTATATATACTGTATATAATATACATATATAGAGAGTGTCTCGTTCCCCTTCTAAGGGAACCATGATTACATTCGTAACCGGAGACTATTTTCACCAGAAATTCCACAGTTAAACATAATTGTTTGAAAAATACACTGAAAAAAATCCGGGCAAACGGCTTCAATAGAAGCAAATACCATGGATTAACAACCTCGTAGCTCACAGTAAGGATGTCTTTAAAGGTTTAAGTTAGCATTAAAAAAACTATTTCCCTATGGAGGAATTTAATGGAGTTTTTACTTCCGGAACCCGACTGTTGCAGTTCTATTAGCTAAACTTTTTTTTTTTTTTTTTTTGGTTTGACTGAAAATATAAGAATTGTTTTTCAGCTTTTATATTCCAAGTCTTCTGAAATCATCCAACACTTTGTGAGAGGACAACTAGGTAAGTAGTAAAGGCCCCGATATACTTCAAGCGAAATCGAAGAAAGAACTGGTGACACTTCGAACAAAATCAGGCCAAACTGAAGTTTGTTTGCTACTGAAACAGTTTGCCAAAGGAACCTTCCGGAAAAGTTCGCTCCGGCTGGTCAATTTGGCTAAACGCCACTATTAGCGTGGAAGGCGTTGGGATGTTTGCTAGATCCCGCTAAAAAGGTATTTTGAACTTCGTTTTTTTTTTAACCTCTAAGCGAAGAATAAAAAAGAAAAGTCTAAATGATACTTTAAAGGGTTAGTTCACCCAAAAATGAAAATTCTGTCAGTAATTACTCACCCTCGTGTTGTTCCAACCCCGTAAGACTTTCGTTCATCTTCGGAACACAAATTAATATATTTTTGATTAAACCTGAGAGCTGGATCACTCCTCCATAGGCTTCTTAAGGGATCGAAACTGGCCGGCCCAAAAGTTATGAAACACATTGTTAAAATAGTCCGAGTGACTACAGTGGCTCAACCTTAAGTTTATCAAGCGACGAGAATACTTTTTGTGCGCATAAAAGAAACAAAAATAACGACTTTATTCAACTATTCATCTCCTTCTCTGTACGGCTGTGATATTTCACGTAGTGAAACTACGCAAAGCTTCTAGGTTGTAGTCACGCATGACGCATCACACACATGACCAGCGTCGGCCAATAGTGAGCCTACTTGTGACGTGCAACCTAGAAATCTTGCGTAGTTTCACTACGTGAAATATCACGGCCGTACACAGAAGGAGATGAATAGTTGAATAAAGTCGTTATTTTTGTTTGTTTTTTGCGCACAAAAAGTATTCTCGTCGCTTGATAAACTTAAGGTTGAGCCACTGTAGTCACTCGGACTATTTTAACGATGTCTTTCATAACTTTTGGGCCGGCCAGATTCGATCCCTTAAGAAGCCTATGGAGGAGTGATCCAGCTCTCAGATTTAATCAAAAATATATTAATTTGTGTTCCGAAGATGAACGAAAGTCTTACGGGGTTGGAACAACATGAGGGTGAGTGATTACTGACAGAATTTTCATTTTTGGGTGAACTAACCCTTTAATGGTTGTTATTTTGCCCTTTTATGAAATGTGTAAAAATTCTTCAAAAATCTCTTTTGTCTTGCAACCAATCAAACCAATCAATCAATCCCAATATAAAGGTATGGAATGCTGGAAATTTATATTGTATTTATCTTTCAAACTCAAGTGTTTAGACCATATATATTTCTTAATTCCAATGCACCAGAATACATTGAAGATCTGCCCCATTAGGGCTTTCATTCTGCCCTTATTCCATAATAAATGAAGATCCATCAGATCCAAGGGGGTCCGTCTCTAATCTTGTAACATTCAACAACATGTAACAAGTTGTTCAGCAGTTCTTTTCAAGGTGAAGTCAAGCTTTTTTCACCTGAATAAAGTGAATATAGATTAAGTGGGATCTCCAAACAAATCCTCATTGGTCATCCAGGCGGTATAGCTGCTGCGATTGACAGGTAAATGATCAATAGGAGAGCTGGGTCCCAGCAGCAAGTCAACAGCCCCTGTGGTTATCCAGGCCGAGAGCTGCTGCCAGAGACCAAGGCCATTGATCCTCTCTGGAGGTGGACTCAGCTGGGCAGTTTCACAGAGAATGCTTAAACAAGGGATTGCATTCGTTTACCTCAAGATCTTGTGCCGGCTATGACGACTCCTGTCTCTCTGGCAGCAGTCCAGGTAGCTGATACAGATTTCCTACAGAAAGAACGAGAGAAATTCATGAGATGATCAACAACTCAGCAACTCTTATTTGTTTTATTTATTTCTTTTCTGCAGTTATGTTATGAATTAAGTTATACAGAAGAATGGATTTCTGTTTTATAAATTGGCCAAAACCATGAAATTACTCTGTGGGTGTTATCACTCTCATAATGTTTCACAGTGGTGTTACTTATTTAAAATAGAAAATATAACCTTTTTTTTTTTTTTTTTTTTAAGTAAGTAAACAATTCAATTTTCACTAACAATTTTTACATTTTGGTCACTAGCAGACCAAAATTTAAATCATTATTCATAGCATTCATTTTTCTCTTTTGTCCGTTTTGGAGGCTGGCAGACCATCAATATGGAAATACTGTTTTCTACTTTATTATATAATGTCCATTTTGATCAATTTAATGCATCATTGTTGAATAACTATTAACTCATTTCAACTTCTGAACGGTAGTAAATCTTCATTTGTGTTCCCCAAAAAAAAAAAAAAAAAAAAAAAAAATCACAGGTTTGGAATGACATGACAACATTTTTTCCCCCATTTAATTCTACTTCCTAGCAAATCCACATCCTGTTTACTACCTCAAATCAAATTCAGGAACTTAATGAACATTCTCAATATAATTCTGATTGGTGCACAAATCCGCTTTGCTATAAGGCAAAACATGATGAGAAAAAAACCGGTCACTGTGTCAGAAAACCAAGGTAAAACAAATTTGGCTTTAGGTAACCCTATAAAAATTCATAAAGCTCTACACTGTGAATTCAACACTAAAAGCTATAAAAAATGCATGATGAGCTGTCATCCACTGCCTAATATGATTCAGATAAACAAACCTATGAAATAAATCTGTGCGATGTTCTACCTCTCCAGCACGAAGCCAGGCAGATGTAGGCCTTTTCAATCTAACTGACAAGCTGCCAAAACTGCTCCAATCTTCAGAGTCTAGACTGTAATTCCTACCGACAATGAAACACTCAAGGCTTTAGAATATTACGACCCTCCCTCCGAGCATCAGCTTAGCATCTATTATCCAACATCCTCCTCTGACCTCTCCAGGGCTGATGTCACTGAGGGCGCTGAGGTGAAGGAGGAAGTTGTTGTCGGGGAAAGACGCCTCCGCATTGGGAACGCAGCTGTGATTACCTGTACAGCAACGGAAACGGTAATAAATCTTCACTTCTTTTAGCAGAGCAAGAAGACAGGCCTCATTTGTTAAGCTGACCTGATTTCTGCTACTCAAAGTCAACTTCTACTGTATGTGAAATGCTCACAGCTGTACAAACTGAAAGACATGCCAATATGAATAAAGACAATTCTCACAAGAGCTTTGCAGCAGGAAAAGTCCAGAGCCTTCGCAGTTGAGGAAATCACCGGTTTCTGTAACAGAAAAAAGATCTATGAAAGCCGTTCATCTTTTGGATTTGTTTCACACTTTTGCCCAAAACAATAATATGTTACACAGATCGATGGCCGTCTAAGTGGTCAAATGTGTGTCTGTCTCAGCTTGCGCTTGAGGAAGTGGATGTCAAACGCAGAGATGGGTTCAGTCTTTGCAAGTATACAGATCAATGTGTGAGCAAGTGTGTGAGGATCTAAGCACTAGAAACAGGTGGGAGACTTAAGAGAAAAATGACCTTTGTCGATGTCCTTGTACAACTGGTCGATAAAAGCATCCAGTTGCTCCCTCTGCTGGCTGGGAAGCTCCAGTGCATCGCACGCATGAACCCACTGACTCAGAGAACTACAGACACACATCAGATCAGAATCGCTTGAGGAACCTTATTCTACTGGATACATCTCTCTAGGGTAAAACATTGATTGTTTGTATTGAGTGGTTTACCTGGTGCCAATACCCTGACCGTTGGTCCCAACGAGCGAAAACAGAGAGCGAAATCCTTCTGGAGAGAACCACTATATACACAAAATAAGTTAATTTTACAAACATCTGCCCTATCCTTAATTCAGTGCATTCAGTGGGTCTGTTATACTCTTAACAGGAATGAAGTAGTGACACACAGATACTCGCATATGCTTGGCGTCTACATAATATCTATCATTAGACATTGGCTTATAAATTAAGAATTGAGATTTCACTCGCCAGTGTTTGAGATGCGTAGAACCGGTATACTGTGCAACCCTAGTGTTTATTGTTAGTAGTAGTAGAGTTATTAGTAGTATTATTATCTTAACAGATTTACAGAAACACTGAATGCACCACCAGCCCTAAGTTCTGTTAAAATGACAAATATGCATTCATACATTTTCATTTATACATGGTCTAGTTCTAATTAAGTTTGACTGATGTTAAAAGTGTAGTTGTTTTGCTTTCAGACCATATCACATATGCATAAAGTAAAACTGAGCCATTTTATGAAGATAAGCTGATTTGATGGATATATTTATATATATATATATATATAATATCTCCATGTCTGGTAGTGTTGTAGTGCTCAAGACCGGACCATTTTTGAAGGTCTTGGCCTTGTCTCGGTCTCGAACGCATTTGTACTCGATCTTGTCTTGGTCTCAGACTAAAAAGAATCAGGATTTTATCTCAAGATCGGTCAATCCCACAACCGCGAGGACATCACTAAATTGCCAATGCATTGTCTGATTCATTTGTTAACATCATTAATGTGATTTGATGTCAAACTTACTGCTTAAAACGCAATCAATAACTTCTTTCTAATTTTATTTCTTTTGTTACTGTACTGCCGGGGTCAAAATCAATGCAGGGTTGTCTAAAAAATTATACAGGATATAATTAAGCTATATCACAAGAGGAATTGAGCTTTTTTCATGAATATGAGCACGATTGCAAATGTGATATTGATTTTATACAAACGTTCAATAAAAAAATAAGTTAAAGGTGCATTGCGCAACTTTTCATGTTAAAAATACCTGTTTTTCTTCCTATACATGCTTAAAGAACTGCCTGATGGGCTGAATGAGCCCTTCTCTGCTCACTGAGATTGCCTCTATAATCCTGTACAGTAAAATATATAAGAGGGATTCGGGCTCGAATTTGAGACTGGGCGTGACGTCATGCGCGTTCACGCTCACCAGGCTGTCTCGCAAGTTTGTGCATTCGCCGGCGCCGCCATTCTCCGCATCAGCGGACAACTCGTACGTCAAAAGTAGAAGATGGATTCAAAGAGACCGGCTTGTAGTCCATTCCAAACCCCAACGCAAACTCCACGTAAAGTAAAAAAAAGAAAAATTTTGTCTAGTGCCACCAAAAGGGCCAAATTGGAGTCAGACAGGCGTCGGAGTAAGACGAGAGTCAACCTCGGGAAATGGAGAGATCTCCGGTCTGCTCTTGGTCTCAAACGGGATCCTCAGTTGGCTTTTTTCTTGATAAAACGGTAAGATATAGCCCAGTCTCTAATGTTTGATACGGCCAATCTATGTATGACAACAAATGACGATGCGTAAAATGTGTAATGCTTTAGCGTAAGCTAGAAACATATACAATCAGAATTGATTTTATACCATTGTCAGTGAACAGTTTCATAAACTAGGAATTGTGTTCGGACCAACAAGGAAGAACGCTGTTGCATTGGCTATATTGTCTTTTTCGGTAAAAATAGTAAATTGTAAATCCTTTCACTGCTGTCACTGCTATCCTCAGTGCTTCTCTCCACAGTAACATCAAATTGGTCAGAGCTCGTATTCTATCAAAACGAGGAAAACGTAAAATATTTTGGTATTGTGATAAAATACATGTTAATGTGTCAATACAAGTATTGACACATTTCACATTAATGTTTGTCAGTGTGTATTGTCCCTGTCAAAATATCTACTAAATAAATCAGCGCTACATGTAGTTTAGTGATTAGCAAAACAGTTCAAGATTCTTGAGTGTGATAACATGCTGAAAAATATGACCGATAATTAGACACAAATTTTGAGTAAATTCTAACAGAAAAAGGATGTATTGTTATTGGAATATTCTCAGATCAATACAACAGGCTGAACCCCGCAAGTCTTCGGCAGCTTAGCCTGTTTTGGCTTTTATGAAAACGTCATGGTGACATTTGATTGTTTATTACCTTGAGACATTTGAGTGAACGTTGTTGACCAACCGTGTACGGTATGATTATTATTTTGAACTATTGCGAAGTAATCAATTATATTGCTCATAAACGTGTTTTCATAACAATACAATCATAGGTGGATACAGATACAGTAAACACATAAACAAAGTTTTCTACTACCCCCGTTTTCCCCTCACACATAAGAGTAATTTACTCAAATGTCTTTCCTTCCATATATTTGAAATGACTTGCAGATTTATAACTTTATTACCTCTGAAGACATTTTGGCTGTACTGTACACCAAAGATCTGTACAGCAGATGCTCCTTTAGTTATGAACAGCTCGTGCATGCGTGCGTGTGCGTGTGGTCTATAAGCGTGCACAACTCTGGTTGCAGTTTCGCTTGTCGCTAGAGGGGGCGTAGTTCTGCAAAAACTCAGAAACCTGCGTTTTGCACCTTTAATATTAAGCGACTAATTTTAGACAAGTTTTTGTTAATTTGGCAACGCGTTTCGTTATTAAATTAATCAGCTGCTTTGAACAAATGATGAGTCAAATAATATTAATGTTTTAATGTTAAATTAATCTGAACATTATTTATGGAGGTGTAATTGTACCAATTCAGATGCAACTTCTGTGCAACCTCTGCAACACAAAGATGAATTTTATTGTTAGTGATTTCATTGGAAACAGCTATATAGTCTTATTATTTTTATTGTATTTATTGATTAAATATAAGATTTTTCTCAGACAGTACAGTAGATACAGATCTTTTAGATGAATTTGAGGAGTGCTGGTCTGGTCTTGGTCTCGGTTTAGGTGGTCTTGACTACAACACTAATGTCTGCCGCATAAACTAAGAAATGTACTAGTCAATGGTGATTCTATTGCCAAGGTATGCATAGAATTTAATTTTATTTTTGTATGACCCTTTTGCTTTTTATTAAATTATAGATAGACAGACAGAGAGAGAGAGACGACGGCTGACCTGACTGAGACGATCTTCGTACAGTGCTGTGGAAAACAAATTCCGCAGCAAGGCCAGCTGTCCCTAATAAAAGGAACAACACTGTATTTTGGGACATTTTTACTGGTAACACTTTATTTTAAGGTGACTTTACATGTTACTACGTGTACTTACTATAGTAATAACAGTAAATGATGCATAATTACAAGTAACCAACCCTAAACCAAATCCTAACCCAAACCGTAACTCTATAGTAAGTACATGTAGTTAATTAATATCACTCAGCACTTATTTGAGTAAGTACAGTGTAAATACATCACCTTAAAATAAAGTGCAACTAAAAACTCAAACTTCGGAAGAGGCAAACTTGATGATGCAGCGTGAAGCATGAGATGCTTTAATAATGTACAAAAGATTATGGACTTTCTATTTACCTGAAACTTCTCACCCAACAATTTATGAACTATTTCCTCCTCTTCATTTGCTGTACGACTACAAAAATGATTGAACAACCTCTGCCAGCGTCCCTTATCTTGAGCCTGAAACAGCAACAAAAACAGTTTTTGCTTGTTAGAAGTTATTTCATACTTGCTAACATTTCATTTAGGCAAACAATCCTCTTAGACACTTTATTCAGACCAATAAATAGAAAATAATAACCTGCTTGATGGTGGCCACCATCCTTGCCATGATCATGATACTGGAGGTTTCAGGAGGGTAGTGCACACTCCTGGATAATATGGGAAAACAATTTAATGCAAGAGCAGAGTCATATATTTCAAGGTTAGCATGCTAAAGAATGCCTATGCACCAACAGCCTTCAAACCGAAAGCAATCAATTACTGACAAAGCAAGGACTCTAATGTTCTGCACAATACTTTCAGCATAGACCTTAAGCGCCAGAGAAACAAGCGCGCGGCCATCTTTTGAATCTTGTGTTTGAACTTCCATTTTGCGGTCGCTCTGTATATTTCTATGGCATCACTGTCGAAGAGTAATTAGCTGGTGAAGTGGATTTACTTATTGTAGAGCTAAGTTATCATGAGCATTGTAATGTTTAAAGCAGATGTCATAACAAATGTCAGTAGACCGGGAAGATATATATATATATATTTAAAAAAAAATAATCAGTAAGATCTTCATGTTGTGGAAATACAAACCGGAAGACGGAACACAACGAGCGCAGCGCTGAAAAGAGACGGGGCTACATAAGGTCTATATGAGTGAGTATTTACTTCCATGCGTCCTGCAGCTTGTTGACTGGGTGATCCGGATCATCATGTGAAGGGCCAAGACACAGGACCTTGTGGTATTGCTCCCATGCAGCCTGTCGGCACTCAGTACCGCAGTACATCACCTGAAGGGAACGCATATGAAGACCAATCAGGGATGAGTCACAAACCAACCCTGCTTTATAAAAACACATTGGTAGGATCGGTTTAAAATACTTGTGTTTAATTGCTAAATTATTTTTTGAGGGATTTGTACTTTACTCAAGTACTACTGAAAATGAACACTCATTCTTCCAATGGGGAAAAAAAACATACTTTTAAAGCACAAAGTACATATTTTGCAGGTCATCATGACTTAAAAATGTCCTTGTGCTCCCTAATGTTTAATAAAAAACAGCCAATAAAATCTTTGTCAATAATTGGTCAGTTATGGTCAGCCTGCCTTGTGAAGAGACATCTCATCAGCCATCACAGTCTTTCCTCAAAAGCTAAATGATTTAACCCTATAAAGCTGACAGTATCATATTTGATGCATGACATTCTAAGGCCTCTAAATTATCAGTGAGATCAAAACCTGTTGTAAACAATCAAAAAGACTCATAGTTTATACTTTTTATGAGCAAGTAAAAGCCCTTTAAGTGTAATTGTAAAAATGTCCATATTCAGGTCGTGGTACACGTGTCTTTGTTTTTACTGTGAAATCTTTACTGATTTTTACCACATAACCCTAAGAATAACTTTTATATTGTTAGTAATATTTCAAGATGAACATTTACCGGAATGAAGTAACGTGTGTTTGTATGGATAATCAAGTAAACCTTTTTTTTTTTTTTTTTTTTTTTAAGAATCATGTTAAATTGTGAGTATCATATATGATAAATCAGGCTTTTGAGCAGTGTTGGCTAAGATACTCTAAAACGTAATTAATTCTTAGCTACTAATTACATCTTCAACAGTGGAATAAGATTACTGTACTAATTACTCTCTCTAAAAAGTATTGGATTACTTACACTAATCACTTTCTGAATCCCATATCAACCTCGACCAGTTGAACAATGCCAGGACATGAAACGGCTCTTTTAATTCTTTCAAATAAATAATGTAAATTTGCACAAATTATTCTTAAACGGGTCAAAGTATTTAAAGGAAGACGGTTACCTTTAACATTCATTTTAACATTAGACGTTACATTTTGCTGTTAAATCCACTATTGTTTTATATAGAATTGTTCAATAATCAATACAGTATTTAATGCAATTACATCCGAAGTAACGGTAAATTACGGTAAATGAAGAGCAATCCCTGACTTTAAGGGAAGAGTAATTAAATTACACTAATGCATCACACCCAACACTGCTTTTGAGGAACATTTATTTGTTAATCTCTCAATGATCATTGTACTCATTTATTATATGTTTTGCTCCCACATTAAAACTACAGAGCTTCGATATAAAACGAAGCATTTAAATACCATTTTACGAAGACATATTATTGGAAGTTGTAGATATTGATAGATGCTGATACTTGTATGCATTTTAGTAGTCTACTCTAGTGTTATAAAGACCTCATCTCATTGATTTACATTACAAGCTTTCAGAACGTATATTATTTTCTTGCCATATGAATATCAGCAACTGCACCAAATTGCATATTTTTTACTCAGTATGGGCCTCTGAATAAAAGCATTTCTCCTCATATACACTCAATATTCTCCTATATCATACTATATGCGCCATAAAAGCCTGATGTATAAAATACAATACAAAACATAAAACATATGCAGACTTTTTGATCTAAAGATTCAATTAAGTATATGTCAGAAAAAATATATACTTAATTGAATCTTTAGATCAAAAAGTCTGCATATATGTTTTACGTTTTGTATTGTATTTTATACATCAGGCTTTTATGGTGCATATAGTATGATATAGGAGAATACAATCTGGAATAAGCCGATTACATTTTTTATTCTTAATAACATAATCGGCTTATTCCAGATTATTAACCAGATTATGAAGACCTGGGTCAAACACTACAGATGACATCAAGAATACATGTGAACATATTAACATCAAGTGTACCTGACACTGTGGGCAGGCCTGGTGTCGGTCAGGTCGCACCTTGCACAGCTCAGGGTGAGGCAGACTCAGAGCTGGCAGACCACTCAACCTCCTGGCATTCTCCTCTGCTGTCTCCAGAGCACGCAGACAGTGCTCACACGCTGAATACGGCGAGAAGAAAACACGCCAGGTACAGGGACACATGAACAACCAAGCAAATAGCTACAAATACAGGGGTTGGACACCAATATATGCGCAGCCTGGTGGCCAATTTTCACTGATTTCAGTGAATAAATATTGGGCTGCAATATCATGGCCTTCCCTACTGTGCTTGATTCACTGCCAAGAACTACAGAACCATTGTGGAAGACCATGTGCACCTAATGGTTCAAACATTGTACCCTGAAGGGGGTGCCGTGTATCAGCATGATAATGCAACAATACACACAGCAAGACTAGTGACAGAGTGGTTTGATGAACATGAAAGTGAAGTTGAACATCTCACATGGCCTGCACAGTCATATAGTCACCAGATCTATATATTATTGAGCCACTTTGGGGTGTTTTGGAGGAGCAAGTCAGAAAACATTTTCCTCCACCAGCATCACATAGTGACCTGACCACTGTTCTGGAAGAGGAACGGCTCAAAATTCCTCTGGCCACTGTAAAGGTTTTGTATTTTGTATCTGTCATTCCCAAAGACGAAGTGATGCTGTATTGGCCGCAAAAAGAGGTCCTACACTATACTAATAAATTAAAACTAGGTGTTTCAGTGTCCAACCCCTGTATATCCTTAATAGTAATATCCCACAAAGCTGAATAATAAAAGCTTGATAAGATCATTCATCGTCAATATATGATCAAGAACATCTGGATAATTTATAAGTCAAGTCAAGTCAAGTCACCTTTATTTATATAGCGCTTTTTACAATACAGATTGTATCAAAGCGCTTCACAGTGATAACATGAAAACAATATAACAAAAACAATATAACAATATAACAAAGTTTGTTTCTAAAAGGAATTGCGTCAACGTCCACCTTAAGTAAGGCAGATCAATAATATTATTGAATATTAAATGTTAAATGTCCCCAACTAAGCAAGCCAAAAGCCAAATATAAGGCACTCACCTCTGTATTTGTACAAGGCATTCCACAAGAACTGAGATGAGACTAGAGGCTTCTCAATGAAAATAGTGTCACCCTTTTTGAACGATCTTTTGGCGAATAATCCTTTGCCCTGTAGAAATATAATTGGATCATTACAAAATACACATATTTAACTGCTGCTGTCTGGAACATGAGATGGGTGAAACCCATTTAAAAGTGCATGTTCACATATATGTCACCGCTTTAGAGAACATGAATAGGATTATTTGTCACAGTTTGCATATGTTGGGTTTGTATCAGGTTCTGGCATAATAAGCCGGGTGACGTGGGAGGGGTGCCGGGTGCGAGCACCATAATCAAAGCTAAACCTCTAAATAAAACATGACTGAACCGTATTATTAGATGAGGATGCATATCTATCAAGGCACTACTGTAGCATACCTTGACATTATCGATAAATCGGACCTCCACGCAATTACTAGCTTTGGCAGGATCCACGCAGCGAGAAAACATGTCATCTACGGGGGCCGCCATGTTGGATATTTACATATCAACCTCTGACCCCTCGGATTGACCAATAGTGTGCATGTGATACATCTCCATTCACTGTCAACACTCGACTGTATAGATAGATTTATTCTGGAAGAAAATATCGCTGCTGCTTGTTATAAACATAAATGCTACGCTTAAAGGAGGAAGTATGTTTTGGTGCTTCTTGATAAAAATGTAGAAATGTGCCATTGGAAGGCGGGGCGAGTCAACTGGTAACTAGTGACGTCGGATTCGTGAATGAATTGTTCTTCTGAGTCGGATCCCGGGAATATGTTTGGTTTACAACTTGAACATGATAGTTATAAACAAACATACGAGCTGGTTTAATGAATTGTGTTTTATCAAAACGTGCAAAAGCCCTTTCAGAGTCATCTAAAATGAATAATGTAAAACCTAAATTAGACACCAAGGCTCAAAATCACTTGATATTTTTACGAGCTGATCATGCCTGAAACAAATTGAACTGGAACACATAAATTTACAATAAACACCCTTGTAAATTAATCCTAATTCAACCTAACCATCATTATATACAGGGACAGATTTATGCATAGACATTATGCACGTTAAAATAAGGATAATTGTTTTATTATTATTATTAAATAATTTCACTCTAATGCTAAAACTCTTATAAATTAATTACATTTTTCATCATTTTTATTTTTTTCATAAATCATTACTATTGGTCACCCTTGTCTGTCTGTGGTTGCTAATTATTTAACCAATGAAAAGTGCTTGTTGTGACGAAACGTCATTACTCCATGGGATCCTAAAACTGTTAGTATAATGTAGTTCCCACCCGTCTCTATTGTGAAAGCAGTTTGGACGTCTCTGCTTGTTTGCAATGCAAAGGTAAATACATAATTATTTGTTTGAATAAGTATAGTGTTTACTCAACAAACACTATAAAGGCAAAAAATGTATGAGGAGAGTAGTCTAGCATTTGTCGTCTAGTCATAGCCAATACTGTTTTAAAAAGCATGTGCAAAGCACTTAGTCTTTTATGAGATTTTGGGCAAATAACTGAAAAAACTGAGGACACAGCCTAATGACGGAAAAAAAAAAACATTAGCTGATCAAAAATGTCTTCATTTGAGCTTGATTTTGGTCAAATGTTATAATGACACGCAAGTATCATACATTACAAGCCAAAATTTCAACTTTGTCAACACTGTGTGTAGCCTAAAGCCTAATTATTTTAAAAATACAGTGGTTTTTTTTTTTTTTTTTTTTTTTCCTGGAAAGTATCAGTTTTGGTCATACTGTCCAAAAACTTTCCTTTGTCTATGTTACAATAAGTTTCATTATGTGCATACAAATGGGAGATTGAAACGTTTTTCATTGGTTCTTTAAACACCTTGTTCTAAAGAACCGATTCGCATAAAAGAGTCAAACTGCGTCACTGCTGGTAACCAATCAACGATCAGCTCCCTCACCGTAGCCAATCAGCGCCCGTTTCACTCTCTTGAATCCTCTACAGCGGGTCGTGTGTTTTGGTAGTAAGTAGGGTGAGAAAATTCCCAAAAAGTTAAGAGAGTGCGGACTAACTGACCTTTTTTACTAAATAACAAGATACTGCGTGTATTAGCTTTTTAATTTTAATGTGGAGTTGACAGGTCTTGTTCCAAATGTTGCTGGCGGAAGTCAAAAAGCTGAAAGTGGTCGAGTTGCGGGCCATGTTATCGGAGCGAGGACTCGACCCGAAGGGCCTGAAGGCCGAGCTGGTGGTGCGGCTCATTTCTGCGATTGAAGCCGGTGTTGAACCTATCAAAAGTGGAGATGAAGGGGGAAATGTTTGTGAAGCGACGAGTACAGAGCCTGCAGAACAGCCGCCGAAGCCTCACTCTCTGGAGCGCGAGCCGTGTGTTAGGACGCAGTCTCCAGTATGCACTAGTTCTACAAGCAAGAGCATGAATGTTTACGCTGATCAAAGTACACAGACTGACCCACATCAGCTCTGCTCATGCACTGCCCCAAGAGCCATCGCAGAGCCGCTGTCGGTTAGGACACCAGAGGCCGTTACTTTCAGAGACGACAGACAACAGAGCAATCCACAGTCTGTACATCCTGTCGCCTTGGCAACCGCTGCTCCAGAAGAAGAGGATGCAGTGTCAGGATGCACATCATCATCAGTCTTGGCCATTTCACCACAACCAGAAACACCACAGGAGCACGACCAGTGTAAGTCGCCCTTAGAGCACAATTAAAGAAGTGTTTTGTAGCTGATCAGATAAAAGAATTATATTTTTGTGACTGTCAGGTGGAGCTGAAACAGTGGACTACAGCATAGAGGAAAACACGGAGCTGAGGAGAGGAAGAGATTATTATGAGTTCAAAGAGGACGTTCATTACAACAGGTATTGATATTTATAACAATAGCATTAACTGATACTCTCTGAGGTACTTCAAAGAACATGGTGCATGTCATCATGTTATGCACATATTTAGTATTTCCATGAATTAAATGTACATTTCAAACATCTTTGCTTTCATTAAAGGGATAGTTCACCCAAAAAAATAAAAAATAAATCGGTCATTAATTATGCACACTCATGTCCTTCCAAACCCATAAGGGTGTGTTCACACTTGTATTTCGGTTTGCTTGGTTCGTTTGGTCTGGACCCCCAAAAAAAGCATTTAGTCCTGGTCCGCTTAGCATTCACATTGGCATTCTGACACCGAACCTAAAGGCATAGGGATTCGTTCACAACCTGATTGGTCGGTTTTTATGACGTATATTTCGAGACAGAACTTACCGCACGTCCAAAACAGTGTTGTGTGCCGGGCTAAATGTGCTCGTTGTATGTGCGTAGCCTACATATGATAGTGTTTTGATCAGCTGAGAACTTGTGAAGAGCTTATAAAATGTGTAAAGGAGTCAAAACAGCGGCAGGAATCCCTCCGTCACACACAAACAAAGATCTGCTGTGAGATGCGGTTCTGATGCCTGAACTGAACTATGATGGTCAACATCTCATCACTATGACTAGAAAAAACTGGCATGCTTGAGTATTCTGTCCTTTTTACAGTTGCATCTTGTGATGTTGTGTCCCATTCTTGGTTTGTTTACATGTCTTTGCTCCGTGTTGCGTTCATATTGAATTCGAACTGAGACCCATCTTTTCAGGTTTGGTGCGCACCAGGGTTTGGATGGCAGCGTTCACACTTAATCAAACGAAACGCAGTAACAGAGCAATCGCACCAGGGTTCGTTTTAATCGAACCAAACATGCCAAGTGTGAACACACCCTAAATATGCATTCAATTTCATAGTGTTGATATTATGACATATCTTCAATTAAAAAGACTTTCAGTTTAAAATGCTGATTTGTCTGTCATCAGTTGTTCAATTATCAACTCAATTTTCTAAATTAAATTTGAAATAAAATAGTTTATTATTTTATCTTAATTGCACTTTAGAAAAAAAGATCTAAATACTATTAAGAATTATATCAGAAATCATTTATACATTCTGTAAAATGTATCCAGTGGGTTTCTTACCCCAGTAAAGAGCCATCTTACCCCTCTTTATGTATTATTCATCAGACTTTACAAAACTGTCTGAGCATTTCTGACTTTTTTCCCCCTGACTTGTTTGTCTTCAGAGCTAAGACTGCAGAACTGCTGCCGGAGCCTGAGGAAGAAGCTAAATTCGATTTTGAGGATGTTCGACTGGATTCCGGTAAATTCATCAAGATCCAATTCATGCTCAGATATTGAATAAGTCATTTGATTTAAGATGAAAGCTTAATAAAAGTCTGTCCTCAAGAACAGTGCGTCTGTTTCACAGATAACTGTGACCTGCATTTCGAGGTGGGTTCTGATGGAAGCAGCGGTCAGCCACTCTTCTGGGAGAGATTCCCTCTTCTTTGGTCAGGGTGCAGGATGACCCATGGATTTTGTCATGGGAAGGTCGGATTCGAAGCCAAGGTGTGAACTTGTGAATCATGTAAATGTTACGTTGTCGATTATCAACCATAATCGACCATTACCAATGGTCGATTATTAAAGTGCCATTTAACTTTAATTAGTTAAATGGCACCGTCATTTTCATATTGGTGAATAATTCCTCTTTTGCGTCTCCAGTTTGTGAAGCGACTGTCGGCACCTGCAATAGCCACGAGCGACGACCCTGATCCACATGTGCTCAGAGTGGGCTGGTCTGTGGACAACACAAGCCTTCAGTTAGGTGAAAATAACATTATAAAATAAGTTGCATTACAGTCCTAAATAAAGATTATGGAAATTTCGGTTGGGAAGTATACAAATGTGCAGTGCTAAGGATCCTGTTATAGATTCAAACAGCTATAAAAATGAATCATAGTAAATAATTTTGTATCTGATTTTTCTTGTTCTCTCAGGAGAGGTGGAGCTGTCGTATGGTTTTGATGGACGGGGGAGGATAGTAACTGGAGGAAAGGAAGAGGCATTTGGTGAGCCCTTCACAGAAGGAGATGTCATCGGTTGCTGTGCAGTAAGTTTCAAAGTCAATTGTTCAGAAGTAGGTTATAGTGTAGCTGTGTCCCAATTCAGAGGCTGCATCCTTAGATGTCCATGAAGGCAGAGCTGCCAACTTTTGAGTTTAGCTTGGCGTGCCGCGCCGTTAGGAGCTCAACACATCTGTCTCGCATGCACGCTCGCTCTAGATTACAGGATATTTTAACTAATTTGCGGTAAAACTAGTCGATCACGAATGGCTCAACTGGTATATCTATAGATAAACTTATCTTTCAGGCATTTGACCGACCGGGTTGACACTTCAGCGTGAGAAATCGGGGGTGTGGCGTGAGAGCGTGAGAATTGGCAGCCCTGTGAAGGTCGAGGCGAGCGTTGTTAAATGGGACGGTCTAGTCTACAGAGGATTGTTCTTGTCATCTAGAAACGGTGACTTCTACTGTTGACGAATGACAGTAACGTTTGTACTAGACTTTTTTAAAAGTTATATTAAACAGTTTGAAAACAATACAGGGTTCACAACCGGTCTAAATGTTCACCACATCTTAGTAAGATGTCAGTCAACATTTAAATTGCTTTAAAGTGGTTGTTGTTGTTTTTTACATTTGTATAATTAGATATTTGAAGTTGAAACACAATACTTGCATTTAAAATAATCCAGCATTTGAGTGCAATGAATCTTGGGATAGGCTAGGCTGCGAAGGATCCACTCGTTCACGGCCCAGGACGCATTTGTTGGACGTGTTCGAAGGAGCCTTTGAAATTGGACAGCCTTTGTAATGCCGCTGTGACGAATGCAGCCTAGCTTAGCTTAGCTTAGCTTATTCATGCTATGTTCTTTTGATCAACATCACATTGCTCTTGGGTTAATTCAGTTCAGGTTTATTATCGATTTGTGTCTATTCCTTATCTAGTTCATCAGTGAGACTGGAGAAGCGACACTTTCATTTCACAAAAATGGGCGTTTTCTTGGAGTGGCGTTTCGCCTGACGTCTTCTGCTCTTAGAGGAAAAGCTCTCTATCCCCACGTGCTTTGCAAAAACTGTTTGGTTTTGGTGAATCTTGATCCAGATACTCCCTGGCATCCTTTTCCTGCTGGTTTCTGCACACTAGTCATACTTCCTCCTGGTCAAAGGACTCGTGAGTCTTTGCCGACAGCATCTAAAAGTGAATGTGAGGTAGGAAAGTTTGTAAAAGTGTGTTAAACCCTTACAAAAATGAACTAAACAAACATCTGGATGAATATTGTTATTATCAAATTCTGTCACGTTGACCCTCTTTCTCCATCTGTCAGGTGCTGATGATGGTTGGTATGCCAGGTTCTGGTAAGACCCACTGGGCTCAGGCTCATATGCTCCAGAACCCAAGGAAACGTTACAATCTTCTGAGTACAAACTCCATTTTGAACTGCATGAGGGTAAGATAATCTATCAAGATTATTGTGTGAAATGGAAATCATCCAGACACACAGTGTTTTGGTGCATGTCAGAAATAAGACTTGCTCACACCAAGACTGATGTTCTTCATAGAAATTGTTTCAATTTGTCTGTTCAGATCATTCTGAATGCGCCGAATGAAAATGCTAATGCACTCCCTGACACTTGGCTCTTATATAAAAGCAGACATAGCCAAAAATAAGAATGATGAAACTCACTGTTGACTCCCATTTGATCTGTTATTTCTTTGCCGCAACAACTCCCTCCTATCAAGATTTTTGTAGTGGCGTTGGCATTTATCAAAAGGCTGTTTGCACTTAGACGCCAAACACAGCAGCTGCTCAACTTTCATCTCCATTTGGGATTTTTCTTCTGTGTGACCACTTTCATCCAGCACAACAGTTTTGTTCGGACACACCACAAAGTTGTAGTTTTATGTAACCGCAGCGGCTCTGAGCATATTAACTAAAGTGCAAATCTTATTGGTTTGGACCCTTTTCATCACAGTGTGATGGAAAAGAGATTAGAACACCTCTCCATAAATAAATAAAAAAACACCATTGACATGATAGGTAGGTATTATTATAGTATTACTATAGTTATTAAAACATTAGTGTTGTGTTGTTTAAAATGAATATACATGCATATACATACATCTTTGCATTATTCAAGGTCTGAAAACATGGCATCTTTTTTTGTTATTTTGACCAGTTGTCCTTTTCTGCAAATAAATGCTCTACATGACAATATTTTTATTTGAAATTTGGAAGAAATATTGTCAGTAGTTGGTTGAATAAAACCAAAATGTTCATTTTACACACACACACACACGTTGGAATCGTCAGCCATCAGGGCCAGGCAACGTCTGCTTTCAACTCAACACGCATGTGTCGTGGTGCTCTCGTGAACGTGCGTTAGAGATTAATATTTTGTAAATAAAGTGGTAAAAAAAATGTTTTTGCCCAAACAAATCACTTGCATCACTTCATACAATTGAGGTTAAACCACTGGAGTCACATGGTTTAGTTTAATGATGTCTTTACTACCTTTCTAGTGGTCGTTTCGTAGGCTGTCAATGAAGGAACAGAATTCACTCAGATTTCATTTAAAAAAATATCTTCATTTGTGTTTCTGCACCGGCTGCTGCAGTAAATGTGGCATATTCAAACGATTTTGACGTAGTTCTTTTACAATTACCCAGTTAAAATGCATATTGCCTGCAGTGCACAATTGTTTTAAAGCCACCCAGTGGTGGCGCGGCTGGCGCCAGGGCTTGGGCCCGTCATCGCTGCTTGCAGCTATCTAAAGTGTTACGTTTTTATCTAATATTTATGTTCTTTTATTTCAGTTAAACAATGGTTAATAGTTTTAGTTAACAATAACAACACAAACTAGTACAAAGTTCCCATAGTCCTGGAAATGAATAAAATCTTAATTCATGAGTACTCCACATATTTCCATCCACATTCTCCGTTCCTATAGGAGCCTCCTGGAGCCAATCACAGAGACCTGATGCTGCAACAGGCCACTCAGTGTGTCAGTCAGCTGATCAAAATAGCTGCAACCAAGCGGAGGAACTACATCCTTGATCAGGTAATCAGGAATATGTGTGTGGTACGGTGGGTCAAAGCTTCATCTTGCTTGTCCTCTCATTCATGCGTTCTCTCTTTTCCACTTTAATTTCCTAGGCCAACATTTATCCATCTGCCCAGCGACACAAGATGCTCTGTTTCCGTGGTTACCAGCGAAGAGCGGTGGTGGTTTTTCCACCTGACGAGGTGTGGAGGAGACGTCTCATACAGCGCCAACAGGACGAGGGCATGGCAGTTCAGGAAATGTCTCTTCACAAAGCCAAAGGTCAGACTTTAACTTGGGTTACGTGATGACAGGTATCAAGACACATTTCCGTGTTACAGCTTGGTCTTGGACTTGCTGCACACTTATGAAAGATTTGTTTTCATCTCTTCCAGTGAGCTTCACACTGCCAGAGCAGGGAGAGCATCTGGATGAGGTGACGTTTGTGGAGCTCGGCCCTGACGAGGCCCTGAAGCTCTTAACACATTATAAAGAGGAAGCACGCCGCCTCTTACCCACACCTCCCAAACGCAGAAAACACAGACAAGGAAGTCAAAAACGCCTCGTTCATCATTGTGGTAAGAAGAGATGCTAAGAGATGATTTCTCTTCTGCTGTTGCGTTGTTGAGAAGAGTGTGTCCTTTGTGGCGATAATGGAAATATTTGAATTAAAACACTGTTAACGAAGATTAATGTTGACAAGTAAAATGGCATGAAAATATGTCCATCAAAATAGGAAAATAAAATATGACTAGAAATATAACACTGCATTATTGTTTACGAAAAAGAAGCATCTAAAAGGAATGGCTGCACGAGGTGAAGCTGAAGAGTGAATGAACACCAGTTAATTGAAGCCCGTTCTATATGACACATAGGAGATTATTCAGATATGTCCGCAACATAAACGTAACATTACAACTCATAATCAACACTGCCTAATTTTTTAATTCATCATAGTTTCACTTTATTTCACCAGTCTGGACAACGTGCTGTCCTACGCTAACCAATCGCACCTCGGGTACCGCCCAAAATAGGACAATAACCAATCAGAAAAAAAATCATAATAATTAGTCACGCCGATCATCGGTTTCAGGATCGAACATCACTGTCATGCCGCCGTCCATCTGCCAATTTTTTATTAATTTTTTTGCGCGGCTCTAAACGTGTGCCATTTTTTTTATATTTTTTTTTATTTCCCAAGGCTGGAGGGGAGGTCCATTCGGCTGTCACAATCAACACCCCCACTGTGCATCTCAGAAAGCACATGTAAGTTTGTCAGTGTGATGATGTTGCACTGTTAGATATTCAAAACAACATCTGCAGAACGTTTATGATGACTGATCACTGATGTGGATTATTCTCTTAGAGTCGCCGTCCATCTGCCTTCGGATGTAGCAGTGACCCTCAGAGATACAGGAAGTATTACAGGCCGTACACTGGGCAGGTAAGAAAACAACCATGTTTGACTAACTGTTTTTTTTAAATAACATTAAAATTGTGCATATACTTAATACATCTTTGTTTTTCTTGCAGTGGAGCTTTTCTGAGCAAAACCAGAGTTATGGTAGCATTTATTATGGATGTTCAAGTTAGTTGAAGGGTTTCTGATAAACCCCAAACTTTTGTGTAGCAGGAAAAACACTCCAAATCAGCATGTTTTTTGATTAGCAGTGCTTCACCTTTACTACAGTAAGTGGCTCTGTCTGTCTGTAATTTCATTAAGAAAGGTCATTGCTTAATGAGGAGCTAGCTTGAGTATGGCTAATCAAAAGATGAAAAATCCTGTCTTCATTCATGTCTTTATAAACATGTGTGACTTCTGTGGAACGTGATAGTAAAGTCCAAGCTGCTCAAATGTAGCCCACAAGGGATTTTAATCTTTTAGGGCTCCAACTTTTATATTGTTTTTAATCTATTTTCTAATGACTGAGAAATCATGAGATGAATCATGTTTATTTATTTTTTTCATTGATATTAACAGTAACTGTATTGTAAAAAAGAAAATAGTTATTTCTTAACATGCATCTTTACTTATTTGCACTGAACATCCATTCAAAAACATTTTGTAAATGTTTGTAAATCTACAGAGCTTCTCCTTCCCATTGTCACATTTAGCTCATTGTGGCTTATTCTCTGTAAAACTGTTACGGGAATATATTTATTGTGAAAACTGTTCTCGTCAGGTTCATACATCTAACACAGTGGTTCTCAACCTCTCCTGCAGGGACCCCCTGACACACCATGTTTCTGTTTTAACCCTGAAATGGCACACCTGATTCAATTAATTGAAGGCTTAATGAGTAGTTGACTAATTGATCAATTAACTAATTCCTACTTCCTACTCTAATAATGACTCATTAAGCCTTTAATTAATTGAATCAGGTGTGCCATTTCAGGGTTAAAACAGAAACATGGTGTGTCAGGGGGTCCCTGCAGGAGAGGTTGAGAACCACTGATCTAACATTTATAGTGGGACGAGTACAAAATGAAAATGTTCCAGAATTTTAATAATTTGTTTTGCCTTGCCAGTGTTTTAATAAATACATGCGTGCAATTTCTGTCGTATTAGAATATTTGTTCCCTTGAGCTTCTTTGAAAAGACTTTCACTGTGAATCCCAAACTGTTATAGCAAACTTGCTCCAAGTTAAAAGGTCTTAGTCGTCTGTTTTTATACTTTTATTAATTTAATATGAAAAGTTGCTTATTCAATACAAAGAATAAATTCCATAGGTATCTCTGCAAAATATACTTTATATGTGTTCAGTACAAGAACTTTAATGTATAAATATCATGAAAATGACTACACCTGTATCATCCACCAGCATACAAAATGTATTTGTATGGTACGTTTTTGCAATTTTTCAAACAAGTCTTTTATACAATACACTACTATATCCAACACAACTCAAAGTTATCCCTGATATATTAAAGTTTAAGTGATGTATGAAGCGCCTGCTGACGAAATCAGTAATCCGGCATCACCCTCTGATACAGCAGCACTGCACCTTTAGCTGAAGGACACATCTCTGACCACAGGGGGGAGCGGTCGTTTAATTGGAGCATTTTCTGTAGAATAGGGAAAATTATGTAAAATTTCATCTTTATACACAATGTCTTGAGATGCCAATCATTCTGTTATTAATGACTTAATCTTGCATATGTAAAAAGATATGTGAATATGAAGAAAACTGCACATAAGGGTGTAGTTAAAACTGTCTGCATCTGAAATCGCATACTTCCCTACTATATAGTAGGTGAAAAACAGTATTGCTGCGTCCCGATTAGCATACTATCCGTCCTAAATAGTATTCGAAAATAGAATTAGTACGTCCCAAATCGTAGTATGTTCAAATGAGTGTTCCAAAGATACCCGGATGGTCTACTATTTCTGGTCAGAATCCGAAGTGGAGATCGATGCACACTCTAACGGGTGATATTGCCCACAACAACTACAAACACAAGTGAAAAGCGTTAAAAAACTACAGACATGAGGACGCACGAGTGCGGCGGTTATCTAGAGAGGTAACCCGTGTTTTTCCAACCTTATACCCGTGAAAGTGCACTGGAACGTTAGTCAAACCCGTGACTTCCCACCCGTGAACTCGTACTAGATCGATGTACTCCCAGTTACGAGCTCTGACGTCACATAGCCCGCGAAACCAAACAAAACAGCAATGGTTTGTTTACATCTAGATGCCACAATAGTTTGGCGTGACCGGCTTGGAACGCGACAAAGTCGTGAGTCGTAGTTTGAAGTCGTGATTTACGTGCTCAAAAACGTGCCTGGAACGCAGCATTAGATAAAGGGGTTTGAGTGATTCATTATCAGTATCTAACCTGACGAAAATGTATTTATTCAATGTTGTCCACATTATATTGCATCTGCAGCATTGTGAACTTTTGTAAAGATACATTTAGCCATTAACTTTTAAATGCATCATTATATTCAAATTGCAAGCACATGAGGAGAGTCTCCGCATGAAAGACCCACGACCGGCAGATGAACGCGCCGCTACATTTCTCTCCGAAACGATAGGAAATTAATTAGATTGAATGGAGGATTTTAACTGTGACGAGATGATTGACAGGGCAGTTTACGGTGGCAGGATGCATGCGACAGCTGTCCGTTAAAGATGACGAAGTAGTATGTCCCAAAGCTTGCCTACTCAAAAGAGTACATACTTTTAGGGCGTAGTATAAAGTAGGCGAATTGGGACGCAGCCTATGTGGCAAAAGTAGTATGTACTCATTAAAGAGCAAAAAGTACTCGTATGACCTACTACTTCCGGCATATTCCGTGAGCATATGATGGACAATTTACTATCCCATGAGGCCACGGGAGAGGATTTATGAATGGCAGTGAAGCGACACAACTGATGCTGGAATATCACATGACAGCATACTACATTCATACTGTTTAGAACATACTTGTTTGTTTTTTTAAATCATGAAGTAATTATTTATTCAAAATAAGTACCTACTCAAGAGAGTATGCGATTTCGGTCGCAGCCAACATCTCGATGTGGATTTGTCTGCATTTATTGAAATGCTTACCGCTCGACTCAGAAACAGTATGTCAGTGGACTCATGGGCCTCAGGACCTCCACGTCTATAGAAGTCTCTCACTTCCTCCGTCGTCAAAGTGCACCTTCACAGAGTAAAAAACACAGCTGTGTAGTTCTGTAAGATCATAACAGCTCATCGTGTACAGATTAAAATGATTTAGGATGGGGTTTACCGAACGTAAAACTCTGCACTGGGTCGGCCTGCACTGGTGTGGTTCAGCGCGATTCCCATGAACAACGGTTTGCTTAGAGAACTGACAGGAACGTTCACCTGTAATGAGTGAGAACAACAACAGCAAAGAAAGATGATGAGACCAGCGTAGTGGCATCAACGGCCACGATTTCCCAATATGTGGTTAAAGAAGTGTGTATCCGATGTGAAGCCCGCAGATACACACCTCATCACTGATCTCTGCACACACAGAGGAGAAGATCTCAGAAACAACGGCCCTCTCCTTACCCTGCAGAAGCTCGACACATATGGCCTCCTCGCTGACCTCCGGACACACCATCTGCACGCACACAGACAGATTTGAGATATTCTTAATAATATATACACCGTAGTGGCCAAAAGTGATGTCTGGAGGGTATATTTGTTTTTAATGACCCTACAAGTTTGATTAAACCATGAAAATATGAGGATACATTATATATATATATATATATATATATATATATATATACATATATTTACACTACCGTTCAAAAGTTTGGGGTCGGTACGATTTTAACTACTTTTAAAAGAATTCTCTTCTGCTAACCATGGCTGCGCTTATTTGAATAAAAATACAACAAAAATCAGTTATAGTATTAAATATTATTCCAGTGTAAATCAGCTGTTTTCTGTGTGAATATATAGTAAAGTGTAATTTATTCCTGTGATCAAAGCTGAATTTTCAGCATCACCAGTGTCAGTGTCTTCAGTGTCAAATGATCCTTCACAAATCAGTATAATATGAGGATTTGATGCTCAAGAAACATTTATTATTATTATCAATGTTGAAACAGTTGTTGGTCTGTCAGTTGTACAGTTTCTTTTTTTTTTTTTTTTGGATTCTTTGATGAATAGGAAGTTCAAAAGAACAGCATTTGTTTGAAATAGAATCTTTTGTAACATTATAAATGTTTTTACTGTCCTTGATAAATAAAAGTATTGATTTCTTTCCTCCAAAAAATAAAAATAAATTCTCACTGACCCCAAACTTTTGAACGGTAGTGTATATAACGAGTTGTATATTCTTTGCCTGGCAAAAAAAAATGGTTTTCACAATTTGGCATGTTTCATTGCGTTATCACAAATATAACACTGAACTCACTTGCACAACTACATAATATGCTTACAAAATATATAAACATTTTTGAAATTGTAACTTTTCCTAGGCCTGACATCACTTTTGGCCATTATTTATTATAAGAAGTCTCATATGTTGAACAAGACTGTTTTACTGCATTTTTGATCAAATAAATGCAGTCAAATAAGAATGATATTACAAATATAACTCTTCTCTATTGTAATATACACTGCCTGGCCCCCAAAAAAACATGATCATTCAGAAATCGAATATGCTTATTTGCTACTTAATTATAATCAAATATTTTTGGTGCTCATTTACATACAGTGGTTCGTATTATCAATGCTGAAAACAATATATAAAAAAATATGAATGCAGCCTAATATTATGGTGGAAATTGTTTTTATCAGGATTCTTTGATAAATAAAAAGTTCAAAAGAATAACATTTAAAATAGACATTCTTGTAACATACATTAAATGCCTTTATTGTCACTTTTGATCAATTTCATGCATCCCCAGCAAATCAGCATATTAGAATGATTTCGGAAGGATCATGTGACACTGAAGACTGGAGTAATGATGCTGAAAATACAGCTTTGATCACAGGAATAAATTACGCTTTAAAATATATTCTAATAGAAAACAGTGAAAGTGTTACTGTTTGTCTTTCTGTCTGTATTTTTGATCAAATAAACGCAGCCTTGGTGAGCATAAGAGACTTAATTCAAAGACATATGTATATTAAAAATATATATTCCCAAGACAGCTGATGATATAATGTATGAAACCCTGATGATGAGTCTGACCTTTGGTTCGGGGTGACCTCCAGGTATGTCTACCAGTCCTGCAGCCTCTGCCACTTTCTGACTCCTCCTCAGCAGGACCACGTCTCCATCCGCGGTTGCCATGACAGCGCCCACGCCCAGCGGCTGCGCGAGGAAGGCCTGCGGATCTGCGCGTTCATTCCGTCCGTGACTCTGCAGGTTCGCCGCCTCGCGCGACCAGTTAGTCCCGAGATAGTCTTTATAACAGGTCAGGCCTAGCTGTAAATTTAGGACACATGACTGCTCATCTTTTGTTAATCTGTCCGAGGATGTATCGCCCCTTTCTAATTGGTCTCCTTTGTTTTGGACAGCCTGTTCTCCCATTGGTCCGTTTTCCATGACGGAGAGCATCGCTGAATGCAATCTGAATTTAGCCCCGTTGAAGAGCCACGGTTCCTGGGTCACTCTGTCACTCCACACGGCTTCAATGTGCTGCTCGATCTCAGGAAAACTCTGCCGATTGAATCTAATATGGGAGTAAAAAACGATTTGGGCTACAATGTATAAAGTGTGTGTTTTTAACTCTCTCATTGGTCTTTAAAAAAGCTGACATTTAATCACTTAATTTATTGATAATGTAAAACTACAATATAGAATGTTGTTTTAATTATTTTTTTAACGTAACAATGTTTACATAACCTGGTAAATACAACCTTATGTGTAACACATTTAAAGACGGATGACTTTGCTTCCTCATTCAGAACACCACTGCACGCCACTACAGTGTGTGTGTGTGTGTGTGTGTGTGTGTGTGTGTGTGTAGATACTTTACCTGTCTGAAATTTCTATGCGTGTTTGATGTTCACCGATAGCCTGTAATGGATCACAGTGTAGCATGAGGGACACCTCTGGATCCATGACAGCACTGCACCTTTCAGACTGCACCTAAGTGGACTTTCAGCATGGGTGTCTTCTTAGTGAGGTGCCTACTAGGCATGCTTTTTTTAAGCAGTGTACATCCAGATAGGCTGTATGTTTTGAGACAGAGCTGTGAATCAACTGACAGATGCCTCGTGTCGAAGTCTGTCTGTTCGACCGGTTTCCTGTACGTTACTGTCTCAACGATAAAAACAGTTGGATTAGCCTTACAAACGTTTAAAAGCAGTAAACAAAGTTGACAGAAATATGCAGTTTAATGCCTACGAAACGATAAACTTACTTCCTTACCTAGAAAACTTGCTTCCTAGACTAAAAGGCAATAGGACTCTTAACTGAACAACTTCCGGAAGCGCTGTACTTCAAAATAAAAGCCTGGATCAACAATTTAACAAAACGTAGGCTACTGTATGAAACCTAAACAAAGCACAGGGTATGTACGTCGTATATTTTCTGTGATTAAATGATCAGAAAATTGCAAATACTCGATGTTACTTAAACTAAAATGCTATAGCTATACAAGTAGCCTATTCATTTATATACTTTTCTAGGTATCTACACCACACTTTAATCTCAAGTGATGAGTAAAATGCCCCTTTAACTGACTTTATATTTACATGTTTTTTTCTATCAAAGCAAACAACTTTTAGCCTACCATTTACTTTCCCACACTGTTACTCCAAAGCTTCAATCATCATTTAGAATTTTAAAAACAGACAAATAAATCACATTTGTTAAGAGAGACTGTTAGTTCTGTCAAATATATAAAAACATTGTAATGAAGACTTTCCTCTAAACTACAAAATACTTTCAGTGACAATCCGAGGTCTGATTTAAGGAAGAAGAAAAAAATCAAGTTTGTTTGCTAATTTTTTTTTCTTTTATTTTATATGGGATTTTTTCCCCTCCTGTACACTTTTTTTTTTTTTTTTTTTTTTTTTTTGTGAAACCAGAGCCAGCCTTACCGAATTACACAGACATAAATTATATAAATAGGCATGTGACACACATTCTCATCTATTACTTTCTTTAAAGCAGTTAATACACATATCAAGTTGCCCACAATTAAGGCAACTTATTTTCTGGACATCAAGAAGAGAGAGGTTGCCCATGAGACAACCGTCTGCAATTCCCAGGTTTTAAAAAATGATGTAAAAGTGTTCCGATAAGACAATAGAACTACACTTTTCATATTCTGTCCAGAACTAGAAATATTAAAATTTTGCCATTCACGATTAAGGAATAGAAAGTGCAAGACCAGACCATCAACCTAAGGAAAAGAACTTAAAACAACATAACTGGTCATCAAAGAAGAAAATAATCCTTTAAGCAAATTAAATATCCCCATATATAACTATTATGTGTTTAAGAAAACACCAAAACAACTCAATTGCATAATTCATTCAAATTATTGAATCAGATAAAAAGTAATGTGAAACAAAACAAATTATATGATACATGTGGTCAAGTCATTTCATCATCTTCATAATAAGAATGGCCAATGCAAAAGAAAACAAAATAGGACAGTGTTTTACAAAGCAATGTTTCACAAAAAAAAAAAAAAAAGATTCAACAGCCAATTTAATCTTATCGACAAGTGCATTTGGTAGCAATCATCTCCTCGTACTCCTTGTAGGCAATGGACCCGTCGTTCTCAATGGTCAAAACACTTAAAGGGTTGTACTCTGACGGCACACATGAAGGTCTGGGCACAGAGGAGTCTAGCTTCTCGTAAATGATGTTCTGAACCATGGTGTGCACTGGTGACCCATAGATATATCCCACGGCCCTTGGACAAAATCCCTTACAGTACCTCGGATTGTACTTGTGAGGCGCTATGATCCAGTGGTCCAGTTTGAGCTGATTGAAGCTCACTCTGAAATCATACAGATCACAGTCATCTGTTGGAAAGTCATACATGGGGATGAGTTTGGGCATGGTTTCCGGCAAATTGGTGCTCTTTAGGGTTCCTCGTCGCTTTCGCGAGGCTGACTCCCACATTGTGGACTTTCCATCCCAGTTGTTGGATGTCAGATCGACCATCCTACCTTGCGTGGCTCTTCTCTGGTATGCGACCTCACTGGTGTCATTTAGGTACAAAAGAAGGGACGGGGACCTGTGAGTTAGCTCAACCGGACTCTTATGAATCTGGCCTCCAGGTCTGGGGACCATATCTTCAACGCAGGTCAAGTTGATCAGGAGATGGATGTCCTTCTTATGGGCCTGAATGAGAGGATGGAGGAAGGAGGTCACGTCAACCTCCACCCAGCGGCGACGGACTCTTCTCTCGGTGTGGACGCGGAAGCTGAGTAGCGGGACTGACTGCTGGGTGCTGAGATGGTGAGAACACATCTGATCCCTCGAGGGTTTCTGCTCCTTTACATCCAGATAACAGAGCGACGTGAACGGGGTGATGTGGTTGTGGTCGAAAGAGTACAGCAGCACTGACTTCAGCAACTGCTCCTGAGTCCTCACTCGATTCAGACTGTAGGAAATATCCTGCATGAAGAATTCTGACAAGATAACACATACCGTTGAGGAACACATCCTTCTCTTGACAACAATTATACTGTTTATTCATTTCTTGTGATTGCTTGACTGCAGTTTCATAGTCAGTGGCATAATGCAATACTAGTGTACTGTTAACTGCATTCTGTGTGGTGTTCACTATATAGCATGTGAAGTACATGTGCAATAATTAACATTCCAAATAGTAATGTACTCTACTGTTGTCGCAGAACCTTATTACATTCATTTTTATTTTACATTTGTTTGACCTTCCTAAAGCTGACTAACTTAGAATGGTTAATATTTATTTTTAACAGTCTTCTTTAACATTATAACCCCAAGGTTTATCTGTGTGCTGCACATTTTACAGAGAACAGCTTCCAGAACCACAATGCAGGCTAAACGCACAAAATCTTCTCCTGAAATGGAGCCGTTCCCACTTTGTCGGGACAATCTGTTGTTTGTGGATCACAATTTTGTAAGTATGTCTTACTATTTCTAGTTGCGTTTTCTATTAAAAGTTCCAATAATAAGTTTTGTAGTTGCTATGATGTAAACAAAGGGCAAAGCTGTTTGGCTCCACTCGCCAGCTGCAAGCCAACATTTGTGTTGATATTTTGATATATCAACGTTTGTGCGCGGATTGGACAGAACCGGAAGAGAATACAATGCTGAATAAAGTCGTAGTTTTTGTTATTTTTGGACCAAAATGTATTTTCGATGCTTCGAAACATTCTAACTAACCCACTGGTGTCACATGGACTACTGTGATGATGTCTTTATTTCCTGTCTGGACAAGGACAGTATACCGTACATACATTTTCAAAGGAGGGACAGAAAGCTCTCGGACTAAATCTAAAATATCTTAAACTGTGTTCCGAAGATGAACGGAGGTCTTACGGGCTTGGAACGACTTGAGGGTGAGTCATTAATGACATCATTTTCATTTTTGGGTGAACTAACCCTTTAACATTTTTGGGTACCCTATCCCTTTAAGACTTACGTTCATCTTCCAAAAACCAATGAAGACATTTTTAATGTAACCTAAAAGATTTATGTTCCTCCACCGAAATTTAGACACTTAAAAACATTAAGGAGATTGTAAGAGAAATCAATGTGGTTAGGAGAACGAAAGTCTTATGGGTTTGAAATGAGATGCAGATGAGTAAATGATGACATCATTTAGGTGAAATATCTATTTTAGCAGACAGAACTTTGTGTCCACCAATCAGAGAAGGCATTGACACCATAGAAAGAAGTCGAATCAGTTTCCCCATTATATTTGTATACATTTTGCAATAAACATAACATTTTTTACTTAAATTAAATGTCTATAAATCAATAGTCATTTCATTTTTTGTTGATCATTTGCAGTGCTTTATGGGATGCATACTGTAGTTAAATGTATCAGAAAGAGGTACACAGTCCTGTATACCAAAGGTAATAATACCTTGTTGGTTGTTTTGGTTTATACTTAGTTTTTTGTACTTATGTTTTTTGCTTATTTGAATAAATTTGGCATAAAACGTAAATTACTCTGTATTACCTGTTTTTTGAACAGTAGTATAAAAGCAATAGCACAGTTGCAATCATACTGTAATATATCATACATTAATAATATCATATACATCCAAAGCTGTGCTGATATTCAGTATAAGTGTTCACTTTTGTGATATATTGCATGCAGTAGGCTATGTAAAATATTTTGTGAATTATAGGTAACTTAATCAAAGAATTCCATCATGTATAGATCTGGAATACTGTACACAGTAGGGCAGGCACTATTTCAAAAAGGATAGCATGGCAATGTATTCTGTAAACATTAAGTTCTTGATCGATAAAGCAACCGCATTTCTTCAAATAGTTTGTAAACATATCTGATGCAACTATGAGATACACAAGTATGCTTTACCTCGGTTTTGCTCGAGACACTCCTCTCGGGGTGTGATCAGACGCGCAGTGTTGTACAGGTGAGAGGCCTCGGGACTCTTGTCGGGTTTGGATGATAGTTTATACAGTCTCTTCATGTAACGTACAAATCTGGAGTCAGGCTTGGCTCGTGGTGTGAATTCTCCCCAAGGGTTCTGCTCTGACAAAGCCTTCAGCAAAGGGCTCAGGATATTACCATGGTGAAGGGAGACGTCGGGTTCAACAGACTCGTTTTCAAAGTTGTAGCACGATGTAAATGACAGGCCGATAACCGCGAGAACAATAAAGTATCTGGATAGGGAACAACGCGTACCATATTTAAAAAGCGGCGTCGCCATAATAAATAAAGTGCGTTTATTTAAGAACAGTCCCGGAGAAGACTTCAGAGTCTTCGGCCAAACCTCACTTGCCACTTCCGTCGCCCTTCCCTGGCAGACAGGTGTGCGCAATCAGGGAGGATTTGGCACAAAAGACGGTGTAGGTATCCACAAACTGTATCAAGTAAGATTTTGAAGAGTTTGATTGTAAACGTCTCAAACAACGCCACATTGCATTGCTTGAAGTTCAAGTTATGGTTTATTTAATGCCGAAAAGAGCGAGTCTAACAGAAATATGACTTTTTGGCAACGTGTCGTTAAATAGCATTACGAGGACAAAATTCTCCCCAACATAGGCTAAAATAAACCATAACTGGAGCAATTGGGGGAGCATCATGATTCTGCAGTCACTTTACTATGACATTTAATGTCTCTTAGTATATTGGATACAATATTAAACTAGTGCTTTAAAGATGGAAAATATTAGTACCTTTGATTAGTATCTTATAAATATTAGCCTACCGAATGACAAGATTGTTGTGTAAATATCCATATTTAGTTCCCTAACGGCATCATAATGCAGGAAGTGACATCCCAGTGGGAAAACAACTGTGTCAATATATGCAAATTAATATTTTTTTGCAACTTTGTTCAGGCAACAGACATATGCATCACCTCAAATGGCCAACCTTATTGAAAATGATTGAATGCAGTCATTCTTTTCAAATTGCTGTCAAAAAGGTTCTTTAAATAATTTCACTGCTTAAGACTTGTTTACTCTGAGTTAACAAACATGGTTGCTGTGTTTTATTGTGTCAGTGTGTTCAACCTGAGCAATGTTACAATAACAACACCTTTCTACACGATGGAAGGCCAAGCAATTAAAAAATGTGTGAATTTTAACATGCAAGAAATTGACAATGTGTTGTGAAAAATGAAGGCGTCCAGTGTAGAAACCTCAAGCTGATATGAGAAGAACGATAACTATGAGAACTATATTAGCGTCCACCACCAACGCATGGAAATGTTGTTTATTAAGCGAGCTGCAGTTATGGCGTCTGCCACTTCATATGCTCGACCTCTTTAAAGAAGAATTTGTATTATTCATGAGCTGGAGAAAAATCGTTCTGAAAGTGATTCCAATGATATCATTCTTCTGTCGTTATCATTTTAGCTGTGACTGTGGAATTCACTATTCTCATAGAATTAGAACAATTATTAAAACTTTATAGTTATACTTTAATGCTAAAAGGATATTCACACAAAAATGAAAACACTGACATCATTTCACTCTCCCTCATGTTGTTCCAAACTAGTATGACTTATTTCTTCTTCTAAAAAAAAAAAAAAAAGAAAAGATTGTTGATAACCAAACAGTTTTGGTTCCCATTGACTGTTTTTTGTCCATACAATGGTCAATGCCATCCGAAACTTTTTAGTTCAACATTCTTCAAAATATCTTCTTTTGTGTGTTACTGAAAAGAAAGAATGGCTTGGTTGAAAAAATGATGAATTTAATGAATTTAATTTTTTGGGTGGACTATCTCTGTCAAGGCCAATTCACTCTGCACCGACAGTGTGACATTTCATAACAGACAGTTGACAGCAGCCATTGATCTCCATAGTAGGAAAAAAGTCAACTGTGCGTCCGGTGTAAGGGTGAGTAAATGATGAAACGATTTTCATTTTCGGGCAAACTACCCCTTTAACAGTTTAGTTTACATTCTACATCCACCTGCATTCAACTGAACCTTTAGAATATCGGAATTAAAGCATCACAAACATTACATCATTCAGAATTTCACCTCCAGGAAACAATAACTTTCAATCGAGTCTCATTTTTTTCTTTAATTTGCCATTTTATTTGAAACGGATGCCGTGGAACTGTATACTTCCTCAGCCAAATAAGTTGACATTTGTATTTTTAGCAACCTATTATAAGTTAATGTCCAGGGTGACTGTGGGATTCTGCACAATGAAAAAGAAAAACATCCTGGAGGTCGAACAATGACCCTATAAATTAGGCAGCAAAACACATGTTGCTTTCTCTTACAGAGATACTAACTGCCTACAACTGTGACAGACTGATAAAGCTGAGAAAACAAAATTAAGAATGACATTTATTCACATAAACTTGAATTAAATATTAATATCAATAATCAAAGAAATTTTTCTTTTATGCTTAAGATATACTAGTCTTACTCAGAATGTGCAGTTTAAGTGCTGAAATTTGGCTCAGAATAGCTTCGTGTTGAACAGTGAACTGCTCTGAACCCAAAGGATATACTTTCTGAAATGACCTTCACCTCGCGCGAGCAGCTCTAACTGAGAGGCAAGGGCATTTGCATCATTACAGATCAATGCACACCAGTAAAAGCCTCTGAATGAAGTTATGCTAAGCTCCAGCGCCCATGAAATCATGCCTGAATCACTGCCTGACTGTGACAAAGGCCTCATTATATTTTCCAGACTGGTTCTAACATTCATAAATTCCTGGGGTAAAACTGTGGTTTTATTCTCACACATTATATCAGTAATGTGGTCATTTGCATAAAGTTTGACCTAATTTTGCCAAGGCCTATCCAACTATTAAAGAACCAAGCTAGAGTTTCTCTCTTTAGTATTACACAGACATCACATAAAGCATAAAACGAGTTCAAGGAGAACATGTCTTCATCCCACACAGAGGCCTCTCTGCCTTCATTCAATGGCACGAGTGTTTCTGTAGGAATTATGCACAGCACAACAATCAGATAAGAAAGATGACCGAGTTACTGTTTGAGGCAAACCAGAAAATGCTCTCACAAGTCACACGGTGACATTATTAGACAATTAAGCATATTTTCTCCAGAATTTGCATTCCAAAGACATTTTTGCACTGTAAAAAGTGATCAGTTGACTTAAAAACAGTTGACCGGTTGCCTTAAAATTATTAAGTAAATAATATTCATATCATTGAAAAAATAAAGTTATGTGAACTTGACAACTCCACATAACTTTTTTTTTTTAATTACGCATTAAGTTTATTTACGTAATAATTTAAGGCAATGGGAATCCTCACTTTTTAAAGTTGTTTTAAGTCAACTGATCACTTTTTACAGTGCAATAGTCAATAATGATTCACAATAGATTAAAAAATATTGTAATAAAAGTTGTTCCCTTCTTTTCAGCATTAACAAAGGGAAGTACAATTAGTACCATGACATAGGCCTACTTCACAATTTAATAATCATGTTCACACTAAAGTCATTTTGAATTAACTTTAAAGGTTTGTTTGTGTTTTTTTTTGCAGTAATAGTAATGATCATTTTTGAGGAATTATATATATATATATATTTTTTTTTATCATGAAATTATATTTTGAGTTAGGCTAAATATTTTTTGGTTACACTTTATTTTGATGGTCCCCTTAGACATTCTGTTGACTATATAAGTAACGTTGCACATGCATGTCTACTAACCCTCAGGGTATTAGTTGAGGATTACTAGAATGGGGTTAGGGCTAGTAAAGTAAGTTGACGTGCACTTGCAAAGTTACTTATAGTCAGTAGAATGTCTGTTGGAGGAGCATCACAATAAAGAGTTAGCAGATATTAAGCGGACAGTCTACTAACACTCTAATGAGAGTTTCTTGACATGTATGTGCAACATTACTTATAGTCAACAGAATGTCTAAAGGGGACCATCAAAATACAGTGTCTTTCAAATTTGGGGTAAAAAGACCTGAACATGTTCTTCACCCTTTCAGCTGTGTTAGTATCTTAAATTAATTTTCTTACTAACCTCATTAACAAATTTAATTATCAGTAGAGTGCACAGCTGCCACTGTATAATTACCAATTAAATTAATAACACGTATTAAACACACTAAAGTTACACAAGTCTATTTTTTGTGAGGTGTTGTCTTTCAAGTACGGATATTCCATTGTAACAACTTGCGATTAAGTGCAATGTTCTTTCTCTCTAATGAAATGAAAGCTCGGCCGACGTCTGTATTTCTCTTTCTGTCCAGCGACGTGGGGTTGAAATAGTTTACTCAGAGTGTTGAATCCTTTATGGAGGTCTGACGGGTTTTGATGATCCTTTAAATCATTTCGAGCATCCTGCCGCAGACAGCGAGGGTCTCCGAGCATCTTTCTGATTTCAGTTGACACATCTTGACTTAGATAATGGTAGGGTTTTTTCCCACTGTTATCCCGTATGTTAGTGCTGGCACCATATTCACACACCAGCAGTGAACACACACGTTCACGGCTGTGAATGGCGGCAATGTGGAGAGGTGTATACCCGTCATAAGACTTGGCATTAACATCGATCCCTGCACCACTCTGTCTTGAAAGATCAATGACTTTACACACCATTTCACCGTTTCCGCTTTTAGCAGCCCAATGCAGGATTGTGAATCCAGACATGAAATTCCTCTTCTCTGCCAGCTGAGGGTCTTGCAGCAGGAGGCTGTGGATTTGACGCCAGCCTCCTGTTGCTGATTTCACAAGCCACTGATGCTTCACTGATCCCAAAGGAATTCCATCCGAGTCTTTAGCCTCATTACCACCCGGTTTGGTGATTTTGCTACACCCTCGCAGTTGTGGCAAACCCTGTGCCTCCAGCTCCTTTCGTTTGACTCTCAGAGACCTGTATGGAAAACCTTCTCCAGCCACAATACAGCTCTGATACGCATTTGCCTTGACTTTAATGGTTCTCTCAGCTGTAGAAGGCGGTGGTTCGGCATCAGCTGTTTGTGTTTTGAGGTATGTTTTTCCCCTTTCGTCATTTTGCAACTCACATCGTGGATTTGGTGGAGATTTTATGGCCACAAGAGCGAAAACGGATCCTGTTTTGCCACTTCCAGCATCACTTGTCACACTGAGCACTCTTGCTGTCAAAGACTCAATTGCATCACAGTCAGGTATTTCAGCATCATTTCCACTTGTACTACTACTGCTATTACTCAAAGTTTGGATGGAGCAATGACAGTAATTGTTATTAATAATATCCACATTCTCTATTTCACTGGAATCAAGCGCGGGGTTACTACTAACGTTACATGGCGATATTAATTCAAATAAACTGTTATTCAGTGTATTTTTTTCACCTGTGAGTCCTTGGTACTTTTTCTTCACAGCCACGTACTTTACATCATCGACTTGTTTAACCACGGCGACGTTGTTGACCAGTCGTTTGAAAAGGTCTCTGTTTTGTTTCTTTTCCGCGGGGTCGCTGGAGTTTATAAGTCCTTTGAACTTGCTCACAAGCTCCGAGTTTTTCACTTTTCCCCCGTGCTCCAATAAAAAGGTTAAGATCATATCTTGAGTCAAAGCCATTTCCCTGCCGCTGTATTTTTTTAGTAGTTATTATGCAAGATGTTTCTTCAACAACAACAACCTGCTGTTTCCGGTTATCCTTCTCTTCTCCAAGACCAGCACACGAGCGCGCGATGAGTGAAGGATGCGGCGCGTGCACGGCGGAGGGTAGCAGAGTTCACGCGCATCTGCGTCTTACATGCGCAGGGAGGGAGAACATCGTTGTTTGCATGTCATCTTCTGTTTAGTTCATTTTTATCGCTCTGGTATCGTTTTCACAAGTAGTAGGTTTCAGTGGTGATATAAAAAAATCTCCATGTTTAGTGCTAAATTGGTAGGAAACTAAAATTCGAAATATTTGGGTTTATTTGTTTATTTTTCTAGCTATTAATTTTTAAGGCCGCTACATAATCAACATAAAATTGCTTCTAATTTAAAATGTAAAAAAAAAAAAAAAATACATGTAATTACCTTTGTAATCTACTGGAATCAAAAGCAGCACAAAATTTGGAGATTGATTTTCATTATGGACACTGGTTTTACAAAAATAAAAATGCTTGTAGGTCGGTTGATCTCCATAACAGACTGGCATACCTATTTAAGATATTTATGTTGAAAAGGTTAATATAACACCAATTTAAAAATAACACGCATAATTGTTTACTTTTTTTTTTAAAGTAGGACAATGTTAAATACAAACGACATTATAAAGTTGAATGTTGCTGTGAAACTTTCATATTGAGGATTGGAGGGAGACGGACCTGATACTAGCGTGTGATTTTCTCACTCAAACCACTGTCTGCTGCTGCTTCTGTTTTGATTGCTTTTGGGAAAAGCTGCACATGACTGTTGGTCTGTTTCCTTCGTGTAAAAAAAAAGCATATTAGCGAAAAAGAGGTTGTAAACTACAAGTAGTGTTTGCGCTTCGGAGAATGTTAAATTATTCCATTTGCAAAGTGTTTTCACAGCGGTGAGCAATGTAGCCAATCGCACACATGTTTGTTGATTTCTTGAACGCAATGGCCAATCACAGGTGTTTAGGTTAGAATCCACTCACCGCTCGAGTTTTCGTGCAGTGCTGAGTTTTGCCCCTTAATTTCACCCCCTTTTTATTAATATAAAAAAAAAAAAATTTAAACTAGTGATGCAAGAAAATATATATTTCTATCAATATTCATCATACATTTTATTTGAATGCATCATTAAATGAAATTTATAAGAACATATATTAGATTTATCATTATGAACTCCATTGAATTTAATTAAACTCACTTGAAACTCCAGACTGCTCAAATTTATGAAACCTAAACAAAACATTAAAATTATTATGAAATATTTGTAAAAAAAAAAAAAAAAAAAATTCTAAAGGTGCGGTAGCATTGGCGATGCTTTAAATTTTGTTGGCAGAAAGATGTCTCCTCAAATGTCTCACACAAAAGTCATATTCAAACCAAGTGAACATGAGCAATTTAGAAATACAAAATCAAAGTAAAGCCCAATATTAACATCTGATAATCATGTCAGTCAGAAATGACATGCATCTTCTCAGTTTCTGAGACAATTTTCATTCCTTGAATTGTTTGTTACACTCATCACAATAATGATGCTGATACGTGAACGAGTAATTTTTTTGTAGCTCATCGTTCTTCACTAATTTAAAAATAATGATGTTTGTTTTCTAATTCAACAAGTATACATTAGTCAGACCTAGACCAGTTGTACACATTTTGTCTTCATGTGTTTGTAGAGCAAAAGTTCACAGACCAAATAGTCTAAAAGAGGGTTTGAAAAAGAAAGTCAACATTTAACTTTGCAGGAAACTATTGATGAAAAAGGAGATTCGAGTTGTTTATCATAATTTTTTCACATGAACGTAAACGTTTATGCAAGTAAAATGAACACCAAATTACCATCTGGTTGACCTTATCTTAATTATTTTTTAAGTCCGTGGGAAAGTGCACATTTGTATCTAAATCAACAATCCTCTCACACTGGAAAAAAGGACTTGGATGAATGTTACCTAATTGAAAAGTGGCTGTTTATTTAAAGAATATGATGCAAAACTACAATAAGAATTGTCCAGGACCACATTTAGTGAAACAATCAACAGCATAAATTTCAGTATGTTTACACTGTCACTCCAACTTGGACACATTTTGCAAAAAACAAACAACAACTAATCATTACTTACTAATGAGTGCACTTGTTTCGTTTGAACACTGCATCACTTAAATTGACCTCCAATAATACAGTAACAAAGCTTCCACTGGATAACTTTTTCTATATTTTGGATAATTTTCTAAATATTTCAAAAGCTCAAAATGTCAGTAGCACCTCATTGCAGTACACGAGATCCAGGGGGCGGAGTTGGATCCAGATCTAAGGGGTGGGGTTAGAGATCAGGGGGTGGAGATGGGTAGGATTAGGGGTGGGGTTAGAGATCAGGGGGTGGAGATGGGTAGGATTAGGGGTGGGGTTAGGGATCAAGGGGCGGAGATGGGTAGTATTAGGGTTAGGGATCAGGGGGTGGAGATGGGTAGGATTAGGGTTAGGGTAGGAGGAGTTGGATCTGGATCTAACTCCTCCCCCTGGATTTTGTGTTCTGCAGTGAGGACCATCTCCAAAATGTTGAAGTCAGTAATCTATTTCAATAACCTGATTCAGGTTGTGCAGAGACGTTTCATGTGTATGTATCTGGTAAGGGCTTTAATGCACAAACGGCTGGATACAAACGTGCTCCGCTCATTAAATGTCAGTCTCGGTTCACACAGAGCACTGGGTTTTAAAATAAAGTGAAAAACAATACATTTAAAAGCTAAATTTGACAAGAGCAAGTGCACATTTAAATATAGCAAAGGCAGCTAAAGTGATACAAACAGTTTGCTAAACATTAAAAATGAATATGCTGAACATCTTACAGAGGCTTATAATGGTTTAGCATTTTCTTGGTTACTAATTTGTGGCCCCATCATTCCTGATTGTAACCGATCCCTCTGAGAAACAGGAATGCTGCTTTCTTTGGAATGTTCTGCATCTCAAAACTCAGTCAAGGATACTATGTGCAGCCAAAACGGCCTTAGAAAAGTAGAATTCATTTGTTCGCTTTTTAAAGAAATCTTCACATTCCTTCATGTCCGACATAAAAAAAAGTACATAAAATACTATAAATAAATGATGTAATAAATATCCCCTTAATCATTACCATAAAACACAATAAATCACTCTAAAATGGTCATTTCCACAAAAATAAAATGGACTTTAAACTTTGAAGCCAATCAGCGGTGTAGTTGATTTTGCTTATATGGATTGTCATCGTAAATTTGCCAGCGAGAACATCAAGCCCAATGTAAACAGAGACCGTCAGAAGGCCTCTACAATAGTGATGCAACTGGCCGGACAATCAAAGCTGCGCAGGCTGATCCATGCAGCATCACAGTGAGAGCACAACTGTGGTCATATTCTTGAGGAACCTCGAGAGGCCATTGAATTTGGGCTTTGACACAGATCCTGCTCGTCTACAGGCACTGAGGTAAAGCAAGGCCCCAGAGACACTCAAACCATCTCCTCCTCGCAGTGAGCGTCTCCCACCAGCAGAGAGTGCTTGTCGGGCTCGCTGAGGGCCATGCTGTTCATGGAGTGTTTGTCGGAGCGGAGCGAGTTGATGGAGGCCCGGCTGTAGTTGACGATGCGGTCGAGCAGGCTGAGTTTGGGTGAGGACCGACGCAGCTCTCCCATGCCGATGTGAACGCTGACATCCGATAGGCTGCCTTGCTTTCTCACCTCTCCCAGTCGTCTTTCCAGCTTCTCAGCAGTGGGTTTAGTGTAACTGCAGAAACAGGAAATGAGTGTCATATTATCTTAAAGAGGCCTTTTGTTACACCTTTTTACAAAGTCTTGATTTTGTTTTTGGGCTCTACTAGAATAAGTTTTACATGCTTGCATATTTAAAACGTTGTTTTCCACATTGTTGCAGCACCTCTCTTCCCAGTCTGTCAGTAACGCTCCGTTTAGTTTCTGTCTCTATGAAGCCTCTCCTTCAAAACAGCATAATGTGCTCTGGTTGGTCGGCTGGATTAGTGTGTTGTGATTGGTCAGCCGCTTCAAGCGTGTTTCAGAAAATGTCACTCCTCTTACCATAACCACGGGTTTTAACACTACTAACTCAACCAGGCCTCACCCCTTTATTTTGCATGTGCCTTGGGCTGGAACTATTCAAATGAGGAATATAGTGACGTGTTCGTTCCTGGAAGAAAACTCAAGACCACAATCGAGGCGTTTCAGGGAGTTCAGAAACAGTGCGCACTGATATAGAGAATAACTCCCTTTGGATTGACTGTTTTTTTTTGCAGACCCTTTTCGTGCTCAAACAGCAAGATTACACACTAGAGAAAGTTGAAAATCTAAAAAAGCATAATAGGTCCTCTCTAAAATACCTTCAAAATAAAAAAAAACTAAAATGCTGCTGATTAAAGCAAGACACCCCAGGTAAATTGGGTACAAAAAAAAAACAGACATCACCATACTTAACCAGTTGACTGATTACATTAAGAATCGCAAACATTGTTTGTATTACAAGTTTTCTGAAATTTTATGTTTTTGAATATGCAAATGAGGCATTATCTTAATAAATATGCACTAGTTTGCATACATTCCAGAACAGAAATCTGAACATTGAGTAAAGTCAGGTTAAAACTTTGTTTTATTCTTTTTACATACTAGAGTTAAAGGTTTTTACAGAGGGAATTTTGTATATCACTCCATATATCTAGAGCCTTCGGAATATAGATGGGAATAAAACTGTGAAGTTTGGTACAAGGGCAACCGAAGTTGAAAACACTGCATGTGAAAACAATATGCATTGTCATTGAACGCTATATGCGCACATAAAAAAATAAAAAAAGGAGAATGAAATAAACACTTAAGTGTATTTTGGATGTTTTCTTTCAGCTAGTCTAAAACAAGAAGTTATGAAAAGCAAATAGCACAAAATCTCAAAAATTGTGTGCATGTAAAAAAGTTTTTGCCTGTAGTGTCTTGCCTTAAAATTGCATCAACATAATCAGCCCAGTTAGTAATGTTTAAAACATGTTACAAAATTAAATAAAACTAGTTTACAGTCTGGTGTTAATATCTGAGAGGTTTACCATTTTAGTAGAAGTGAGGACAGCACTACAGACACTGATGAGGCAGCCA